GTTTTTGTGGAGATTGCAGTAATTTCAATGGTTAAGATCATGAGTCAGTTGAAGCTAGACCACCATGGAAAACCTGGAAGCACTGGACGGCCGTTTCGTCCTATTGTGGGACTCCTCAGCAGTGCGCATCCACGATCTCACCCCGCGCACTGCTGAGGAGTCCCACAATAGGACGAAACGGCCGTCCAATGCTTCCAGGTTTTCCATGGTGGTCTAGCTTCAACTGACTCATGATCTTAACCATTGAGATCATAGTTTGATCAAGAAATATAATGATAACCTTTTCATTAAGCAGATAGATAACAATTTGGTGAGGTATGCATTTGAAAAGTTACATTGGGATGATATATTAGGAAAAGTACAACGAAAGTTTTCCCATCTTAAAAAAGAATTGATTACATTGTACTTTTAAAATATCACAACTAATATGTCCAAAGTATACTGTCAATCTATTCTAATTATATATTTTATTCAAACAAAATATTCTATCCAGAAATTCCTTATAATCTATAGTCCTCATTTATGTATTTAGGACAAATGACAGTTTCGCTTCTATTAAAAATTACATAGATATTAAATTTACAAAAATTTCAAATGATGACAGTTTTTCTTACGTAAGTTCATTAAAGATACAAATTAGTTATAATTTCTATTTCCTGTCAAAGTAATAAAAAGAAAGGAAATATGTTTGACAATATTATGAAAGAACAAGTCAGTTTCTCATAAAATAAGTCCTAAAAACAAAAACAGTTTTTGTAATTTCATTGGCATCTATTTATTCTATCATTAATGATGATCCATATTACATTTCTGTAATTTATTATCCTTGTCAATAATTTCGATAATGCTTATCGATAATGTATATCGGTTTTATGTGATATAAATCATAACATCATATTGTATAATATGAAGTTTAGTATGAACGATTATAGATGACAACAATAAATCATAACACAGGAACTATACAGAAAAAAAAAGGAAGTAGTAAAATAGATTAATTGCAAACTTCATTTTTACTCATTTTTGAATAATATTATGATCACGATCCAGTCAAGCATTTATAATAGATCTTAATTTTTACTCATTATTGATGAATAGCTGTATATGGTATCATTTTAATTACTGTTTTTAGTAAAAACAACAAACAAGATCAATTATTAGGGGTACATTATATTGTATTAGGAATTATTATAAACCAAAGGTAATTGAATCCAAGAACACTTTGTAGCTATATTTGTTGTACTAAACAAATCTATTAGAGATAGAAAAACTATAATAATTTACAAATTTCGTGAAGTATAATAATAAATTACCATTTAATAGCATCACTAATGTCAGAAGGGATTTTGTGAAGATTGTAGTATATTCAATAGTTGTGATCATGAGTCAGTTGAAATGACTACAATCTCCACTAAACGCTTTTTGATATTAATCAACATATGCTCAATGGTGACTGGCTTCAAGTTGCGAATCCTGCAGTTCTAGTGAGAAGCAGTGACCAGTTGAGTTCAACCGGGTTATTTGAGAGATAGTAACTCACTGATGACAATGGTGAATGTATCGCTCAATTTCGTGAATTAGTTAAAGTTAAACATTAACACCAGTGGATGCCGGTTGGCTCATTGGTCTAGTGGTGAAGCGTCCGCACGCGAGACTGATAGGTCTTGTGTTCGAACCCCGTGAGCGTATTCATGGATGCGCACTACTGAGGGGTTCTGTACTAGGACGAAACGTCCATCCAGTACTTTCAGGTATTCCACTGTGGTCTAGCTTCAATTGACTCATGATCTCAACTATTGAAATTACTAAAATCATTTTATTTTATCTAAATCAATGAGTGAACTCAACTGTCAATTGTTTAAAAACGAAGATATTTATCAAAGATGATTTGAAATGACATATCTGAATGCCATGACCAGTAAAGGTGACTTTTGTAACTTATTGTTATGCAAATAATAATTATATTTACATAAAAGTAGATTTTATGTTAATCACTACATAGATACAACTTTATGTATTTGAACAAAGTGTATCGTTTAAAACTTAGTTGATTTGTTGAAAATAACATAAATACTTAAATACAATTGTCAATGAGAGTTAAATAAATAGTCATGTCACTCAATGCATATTTTTGAATCTATTAACCATGTCTTAGCATTCAACATTTCAGTTTAACCCATCAGACAGATAATTCGTTGGATAAGGTTTTACTGTCAGGAATGATTTATTTTAATTTGATTAACTTTAGATAACGTGAAATAAACAACTACACTAATCAGTAATTTGACTGTAATATGGTTTTCTACAACTGAATTTATCAATTAGGCATCATATACTGACAGAACTGGAAAGGAATGTCCAGGACAGAGTGTGTTGGAGAATGCTGATCGGCGGCCTATACTTCATTGAGAGTAACAGACGTAAAGCAACTGAATAATATTACAAAAAAATTCAAATAGCAAGAAGTTTTTTTCAGGTGACATTTATCAGATAGCAAATTATTGTGAAACATTACTTGAAACCCGATCGTTATAATGGATTTCGTTAAATTTTATTTTTTACATCACTGAATGATCTTAGTTAAACCAAGAAGTACTAAATATCTATTTCATTCAATGGTTTCTCGTTTTAAGTGATTGTCTAATTGTGTTTAGTTAAAAACAAAGAGTAACAAGTAGAATATTTTCGTTTAAACTTTCACTAAATGAATAAACGGAAGAATTATCATTAGTGTTATTTCATCTTCCAAGCATTTATATAATGCTTTAAAATGTAGATATAAATAAACATCATTTAAGTAAATTGTTCTTTCTCTCTAATTTCTAGGTTTATATTGTTTCGCATGTTACAACGTACACAACAACTACAATATCTCCTATCTCTGCAATACATCTAGTACTTAATATAAGTTAAAAACAGGTAATTACCTTCCATTTAAATACAGATATGAAGATATTGACTATTACTTAAAGATCAATCAATGAGTCTAAGTAAGCTATTTTCCGGTTACTTATAGTTTGTATTAATAAGAATATCATGTATTGAATTCAAAGATAATACTTCAAGGAATATCAAGGCAGTCCGCACAGAATGCACATATATCAACAAGAAATTGATCAATAGAAAGATACAATGAAACAACATCAAGTGAATACAGAGTTTTAATTTGTTTAAAATACATAATCAGGAAATTTCTTTTGATCCAATACAAATCTATATACAATAAATGATAAAGATTTTGACTCTTTATTTTGAATTTAAAAATTTTTCAATATTAAATTTCATGTTCAATTCAATGATATTGATTCAATTATTACTGATGTTTAAATGAAATGAAATAAGGTTGTAATTTTGAAATGACCAGTAACAATTAGCTTAGGTTATTGTTATGAAACTATTATGGTTTCATTTATAACCAGTAAAGAAATCCTATTCTTGTGAAAAGATATAATAGGGTTAAATTTAAAAAAAGCGCATAACTATAGGCAAAAAATGTTAGAATCAAAGCTAGTTAACTAAATTGAAAAAGAAAATAAGAAAGAAATTGAAACCTTCATCTTTATTACCAAAAATCACGTTTCAGGTTATATCAATTATAATATAAAATGGTCATGAAGTGAAAGGATTTTCATTGTCATATATCCAATTTTATCACGTAGCCAATAATATGCTTAAAACCATATTATATTTTATAAGTTTGGTTTTTATGGGGGGGGGGAATAAATTTACAGACTAATCTTTGTATTACATCCAAGTTTACTTAGCTATATACAACACTTTACATGTGACCCGGTATCATTATATATATATACATTTGACAATGAGGTTAGTGAAATCTAATTTAAGGTTATCTATTTTTTATTGGCGCTTTTGTCAAATGTTTCTTCAGAATACAAACCACTCACTGAGAAAAAAAGACTCAGTTCACCAATTTGGATTTTGGTTGCCAGCTGTTACCGGTACTTAAACACATAAGCTCGTGAAAATCAGTTACTTTCTGATGCAATATACAATAAGTAAGAATATATATTGTGACATATATGAGACGCGATTTATTTGGGGTTTAGGAAAGTAAATAAAAATATTGTGTCTTATGTGGTTTTTGCTATATGTTTATATTGGAAACTAACATATGAACAATAGACATGAGTTATAGAGTAAACTTTATAAAGTTGTAATTTTAAATTCATAGATAAGTTCCACTTTGTTTCATATAATTCGTCAGTACAAATGATAAAGATACTACTGAAATGTAAGTCTTTTGAATGTAGAATCCGTTTGGTTTTTATAAAATTATTACAGTTACCGATTGTAAAGATTCGTATGTATGGTGTCCTCTAAATATAAACCTGGTATTTATTTCCTAACACACGTTCTCGACAATTACTAATCTAAAGGAATATGTATCATATATTTCCTAGTTTATTATTGACAAAACAAAATCCAGTGCTATGTTATTCTATTTGATCTTATTTTTCTTTTGTACATTAATTAATACACAATTTCAACATGATTTACAAAATTAGCGCTTATTACATGTGACTACTTTGAAGTAGAAAAGAAGAGCAACAAAGAAGAAGTGTGTGATAAACCAAACAAGAAGAAAATTTACAAAAGAGAAAAAAATACATCTGTAAACACTGTTTTGTTACTTAGAAAAAATATGAAGTTGATTCTTTGAGAATAAATAAAATTAGTTTAGTATGCTTGGTGAATAGAATTTCATTGGAGATAAAATATTATAGTGAATTTGTTTTCTTTTCAAAAACATTTTTCTGTTTTTTTAATGTAAAAATGATGAACATATTGGGAGAAAACTGTTAAGTAGATCACAATGTACAAATAAAGAATAAAAAGTAGATAGTTTTGTGTAAAAAAATGATCTCAATCATCCACTTATCTACGTATATATGCGTTTATGTATGTATATGTATGTACTATGAGCTTTATTCCATATGATGTCGGATTTCGAGACATGTAAAAATTATGAAAAAAAAGGATTATCTTTCATCCGTTCGCCCTGAAATAGCGTTTCTGAAATTCATTTGAGGTCTTCGACGTGGCCTTATGGGTACGGCACTAGTAGATCTCTGATTTACAGACTGCCCTAGACATCTTGAAGCCATATCATTACGTGTATAAAGTGAAGGTACAACAATGCTTTGACGTTTACTTGATGAACTTGGTAGACCATATTGAGCAGAATAATGAACTGCACGTAATCGTGCATTAATATTACGACAATGGCACAGAAGTATCATTTTAAAAGGACCACGAAATTCACGATCAAATTTGGCATATATAAGTGGATTTAGAAAACTGTTCACGTAACCTGTCAACATAAAATATAAGGACAATGAAAATTTGATTGTAAAGATTGGTTAAATATTTTTTATTATAAACCATCAAACTGAAAATACCTACAATAAATAAAATTATAATTTGCAAACGTCAACTTCAAAATTAGTGTCCCCAACTATTAAGATCAATCTGATAGAAAGACGTGATAACCGAATTTTTAAATTCTTGTTTAAATATTTTGTAAAGATTTACATTAATTATGACTTAAAACAAACAAACGTACTTAAACGTTTGTGAATCGGATACGAAATTCTCGACAAAAAGTACTTAACAAATACATTAAAACGAGATCTTGGGAAAGAAACATGCTCACAGAGAATAGAAAATTTGAAGTGAATTGTGGTTTTTGGAAAGTTATTTACTATGTTAAACAGTCGTTATTCACTCATTATGTTAATTTCTCACTTTACTACTTACAATGTTTCTCATCATACCTCGGTATTTACCGTAGAATTCTATGTAACTCTATTCTGGTTACTGTTATACTTTCATCTATTGCAGCAAAAGTTTATGAAAAAAGTAAAGGTGAATATAAGTGTTAATGTTGACAATTTGCTTAATGTATTTATCACCATAACTGGTTACAAATAATTTCACAAAAAGCACTATTAGTCAGTGATAAAATTAAATTTACTAAGCTCATTAGTTAGTACGTCCCATTTGGATAGTTGACTGGTGATCAGACACTTCAAGCGTATTACATTCACTTAACAACAGTCTTTTTCTTTTGTATGACTATTTGTCATAGTATAAATCCAATTTTAGAAAACAAGAAAATGATGCAATGACAAAAAATTATATATATATATATATATATATATATATATATATATAGAGAGAGAGAGAGAGAGAGAGAGAGAAAGAAAGAAAATCAGTAAATAGATGGATAGATAGATAATTCTATTACGTAAACTATGCGGATGCAAATGTAGTTCATTCTAGCAAAATAGGATTTTCATTAACAATTTATAAAGTGAATAACTTTTTTCATTGAGCAAATTTATTTGATCCATTTTTTCTAGTGAATAGGCTACGAATCATATGAGTACAAGGCTAATCTAATAGAGTATAAATTAAATAAACGATTTAAAATTATGACACTCTAGGGATGATGATTTCACTTTTGAATTATTTATTTATTTATTTATTATCGACATGTAGATATCAATTGAGATATTTCACATAATATGGACGGTCAGATTTCCGCTATTTATCTTCAATAACATAACTACATTTCTATAGGTCATAAGATAAACAAATATATCGCCATTTAATGTGAATGTTTACAGCTGTGTATTTGAAAAGATCGCATTTTATATTATTTATCATTGGATTGATATTTTGTTTTTGATTGTTTAAGAAATAACTCAAATAGACTGTTTCCAATCGTTTTAAACGAAATACATATGATCGTTGAACTGGATTTCTCTCAATGAAACTCTATTGAAGTAAGCTTAATTTAGAAAAAAAGTGTTCTTTCACATGTTTAGAACATTATGTTATCATTATAATTGATAAACAAAATGATCGTTAGTTAATCATGAAGAAAAATGAACCTGAATTTCGTAGATACGTATCGAAAAATTCATAGACAACCATAGAATATGATTAGAAATGTTTTTGATGCTGTAAAATGGTACAACTGTATTTTCTATTCATTTCTACTATCGACTATAATTCATATTTAAATAGTGATTTCGCAAATATCAGCGAAAGGATGTCTTTTTTGAACAGACTTATTAACAACAGATCTGAACTTATTCTATAAACAACGTTGAAATCAGCAAACGGACTGGTTGAGTGGTTAGAGTCAATTAAATGCTAATGAACAGAATTCCTATCCTCGTTTCTCTCATTCGAGTGAAATCATACTGAAATATGTGCTCGTATAAATGTTCAAAGTAAGTTATGTTAACGGTATGTGTACCTTTGTCAACAAGAGAAGGTGAACTAATAGATGGACATAGTAGTGATCGAACGAGATAGTTTATCCTTTATGTATACGATAAGTAATTTTCTGCTTGTGAAAGTAAATCACAGTTTTGTTGCAAATAACTATTTTTCTAATTACTGTGGACAACGAATTCTTAAATATATCGTAATTTTGACAATCTTCACACTCTAGATCTACTTAACGTACACCTTACAAACGGCATTTTCGAATCCTTCAATCCAGCTGCCTATCAAGTTATTCTCTATGAGGTGGTTTTAATAACCGTTTTTAGCCAAAAAATTTCTGAAGAAGTCAATTTCTTCAACTCGTTCAGCGCTACAGATCTTCCGTATTCAGTAAAATGAAGAGTAAATAGTGTTCCTTTGTTTCTTTTATAAAATCAAGCCACATAATTACTTTTAGTGATCTATCACCCTTCCGTGTGAGTGAGATATCGAGAAATGAGATTGAATGACCTATCACATGTTATGACGTGAAATTTGTAGAAAGAGGGCATGTATTGAAAGAATGCAGAGTGCTGATTGCGTGAAAACCCTGTTTATAATCGATGAAACTATCGTTCATTTGCCTTCTGTACAATTTAAACCATTTGGTGGCAGAGCTAAGTTGATTCTTTTCAAGTTTAAACATGAAGATATTTAGTAGAACTGAGCTCAATAGGGACCCCATTGTAAATTCTTTGTACAAATTGATAGTAAATTGGTTTAAAAAATTTCCTAAGCTGAATTTCGTTTGGTTTTAAAATGATCTAATATTTATTCAGCCGTTATTTGAAGTGCTTAATTTATTCTTAAATGAGTAATTTTCTGGTTCCAATTTATATGAATTCGTAAGCCATATTAGAAAGTTAGAAAAAGTTGCTTACTGTTATTCTAATTATAGGTTGTGATAAGTTAATACTTATATTGATCAGTTATAAGTATATTGTTTCGCTATTCCGAATCAAACTAAATCAAAACCAACAAAGTCTAAAATATTAAGAAATCAGTGCTCAGCTTCATATTTCACTATAACCATGATGCATACTTCAATAGTTTTAGTTTTTTATGGGATCGCTCAATGGCGTTTAACAAAGATACTATTGTGAAAAATATCTCAATCAACGATTGTTAACCAACGAGTGACGTTAAGAAAACACTTTGAAGCTTGTAAAAGATAGATTACAACTTTATTAAAATTGAGACAGGAATTATCGGTAACGACAGATGACAGTAGTGAGAGCTTAAGACAAGTAAAATGGTTAAATGTAGAACCGATATTTCCTATCAACAGGGACGGTATCTGTTCATCAGAAAACCATGATTTGTGATTAATTGTGGAACATTCAATGTTTAAAAAAAACGATCAGTATTAGGGACTACTAATGAAAAATCTATATGTGGTTTACGTTTTATAGAATAAAATGTAATAGATTATCAACGGACTTTTATTCACAATTCAAATCAACTTACCTAACCATTGCAAAAATCGAAACACACTAACTGGAATCATGTTTGCAGTGTTGTAACCAGCTGCACTTAAAAGGGCCAAAAGTAGCTAAAAGTAAAAAATTTTAAATTTTAAAAGATAAATGTGAGATATCGTACTTCGAAATTATTATAAAAGCAAATTATTTAATATATTAAAGTATCGTTAGCTATTAAGTGTATATCAGTATAATAAAAGGCTATCGCTAATAGAATGCAAAAACGAACAGGTTATTACTTAGCTTTAGTGTTCAATGAAATGAGACATATCTAAATCACTCATAGATTATTGATAGTAGAATGAAAAACATTATGCAACAAATTGATAAGCATAATAACACTGAACAACTGTTAGCCGTGTTTTTCACAACCTATAAATGTCTGCGTAACTTTGTGGATTGGTTGAGATTTAGTATCATACCAAAAGCTTTGTTAATGATGACCCTAATGGAATCGAAAAATTTATTTAAATTAATCCATTAAATACCAGTTACGAGGATTAGAAATAATAAACTTTAGTAAGTATCACTGTACACAAACTGTAGCAAAAATATAACGAAAATTCATTTGGTTATTTAAAACGAACATTTTGAAAATTGACCTTATATTCACCTTCAATTCCATTTGAATCAGTATTGATTTCCTTCCGCTTGTCGTATTTGGAGACTGTATATCCCAAACTGTTTATTAAGCAAGATAAAAGGACTAGAAATTTTGCAACAGGATTCATGTATATCCACACACTAAATATGAAATATATTTGTAACACACCATTTTCCAATGAATTTTGCCTCGAATTAAGTTAACCTTATTATCTCCACACTGTTCCTTCAGTATTTGTATATATGTCTTGGAATAAGCAGTTATATTTACTTTAAAAAAAAGTGATTCAAATACAGTTTTTTTGTCAGTGTGAAATTTTGTTCATATCACTTCAGTGATATGTCAGTGATGTATCAACTAGAGACATAAATAAAAATAACTTTCATCGAGATAACTGATATTCAGTTTTTTTTCTTTCAGATAAAGTTATTCAGTTTCACTGACAATTTATATCATAAAATATAACTATTATCAAAATAAATGAAAATAGAATATTTCCCATTGAAAAGAAAACGGCTAATAGTTATACAAAGTACATTAATTCATGTCACTTGGTTACTAACAACACGAGAATGATAAGTAGTATCTCTACATTACACTTAATTCATTACGTAAAAAGAATATGCAAATATTCGTTGATGCATTCAATATACAAGAAAATTTTAAAATTATACTGTATCTCAAGCAAAATTTACAAAATTGAATAAAGAAACTATGAAGTGAGAAAATGGAAAACACAATATAAACTGTTTTGATGAATTGAATATAGTGCTATATACTATACTATGCTATACTATTTAATTTATTATCACGTACTATTAGGGTGTAGAAGTAAATGTTCCGCAGTGTCGAGTCACCTAGACTGGTGGCCACATTGCAACATAATCGATAGCATTCGATCTGCACTAATAAGGACTAGACAAGCATGAAATTGATCACCACCCAATGATCAATCAATTTTGATTACATCTCAGTCCTACAGGAGGTTAGTCACGGCTCGGATAGCTCAGTGGTAACGTCTCTGACTGTGAAGCTGTGTGACACGAGATCGAATCCGCCAGGGAGCACCGTTTCTTTCAAGATTATAGGTACACCTTGCTGACGAGTATCAAGTAGCACGAAACCCGAGTCCCGGGTTTCCTGTCGACCACCATCTAATTCCATTAATTTAGTTATATCAATGGGAAACTAATAAATTTCGTCAAGATTCTGGACCAAACCATTTGAGTGTATACCCAGTACTAGTTAATCTCATTTTGTCAGGATCGGCTAATTTTCGTGGAAATTTTTTTTATAATTATATTTCATACACAGTACTATGAAGACTGTTGAATAGACCAGGACTCTTTAAATATCACGTAATCAATTTAATCAACACTGTTAAAACTCAAAATTTTACCATTAATAGTAAGTGGATTACCAAACATTTCAATTAGCTAATTATATGCCTATTAGTGAAATTTTGTTTACAATGATCACAGTGACTAAATGTTAAGGAAACAGAAGTTAATCATTAGATTAAAAGTAAATGAAAAAGGAATATGTTATTGAATTCCATTAGAAACACATAGATTACAATAGTCAGTTGTTTACGACTGATGAGTAGTTTCTCTGAGAATTCCTTCATGAAATTCAAAGTTTAATATATAGTTTAAAATCAAGAATGTTCGAATGAACGTGCTCCGAGAAATTTCTCTACAAAATCCCAGTTAATTTACATGTAAATATTAGAATTCATGTAAGTGGAACAAATACAGTAAAAGTGGATTTGGTAACTATTTTAAAACGAAATCTATTGTCTAAAGGCTTTGATCTGTCAACAATTTGGTCTATCATTTGTTAAAAAATGAGTATTCAAAATGACAATGGATAGTGGAAACATAAAGCAAATCTAGATACTTTCTTCTATCATTTTCCTTACAAACTATGGTTTTATTGATAACACTAAATTCCTTTTTCTATTTCTAGCCAAATCAAATACGTATACTCTGCTGTTTTGTGCTATGTTCACTCCATTCATACATAACCTCACAATTCTCAACAACTGAGCAATATATGGAATATGTTCAGAAGAACTATTTGGACAATCTAGACATATTAGACACTTTCGAATTAGATAATATTTAAAAAAGCTTAACAAATGTCCGATAGTATAGTTAGCAGGATTCAACCTCAGGATATGTCGTAATAGGATAAAAGATCAGGTTTTTGATATGTCTCACTATATACTGAATATTTGTAACAGAGAAAGCAAAAGTAGTTCAATATACTCATTCAAAACACCAGCAATTGACTTGAATTAGACATCTGATAACAAATAACGAACATTGTCCTCGTATTACAATATTGTTCTAACATTGTGGGGGGGGATTTGTAAATGGAACAGAAACAACATTTATTCTATCATATATATGTTTCATGTTCTTGTTACCCATTCTGTCTAGCAAGAAAGATTAATGAAGTCTATGGTTAGCAAAGATGATTCTTTTTTAATTATATCATTAGATTATTTTGTTTTTAAACGAAAATCATTAGTATCATCAATTCAGAAAGATGATTGTCAAATAATAATAAGATTTCAGATAAATGGTTATTTTACTACCTTGAATAAACTTACTAATAGATTTCAATAGTTGGGATCATGAGTCAATTGAAGCTAGACAACCGTGGAAAACCTGGAAGAACTAGACAGCTGTTTAGTTCTACTGTGGGACTCCTCAATAGTCCGCATCCACGATTCCGCCTCATGAGATTCGAACCCAGGATTTATCGGTCTAGCGCAAGCGCTTAACCACTAGACTACTGAGCCGGCCGGTATTCAACCATGTTAATGTCTAACTTCAACCAATAAATGTTTATATATATTTCAACATTTATGGATACAGAGAAAATATACAGATTAATGAAAGTGATTTTAATTATTAGTACGTTAATTTTCATTTACATCTTATTTAGAAGAATGAATAGATTTCTAGTAGGATTACTATACTGATAGCTTTAAGAATTCATTAAACAACAATTTCTAAATGGTATTTGTAAACATATTTACTATTTTATTGACCTTTTCAAATAAGAAATATTTGATAATCTAAATCTACTTCATATGTCATGTTCAAGACAAACAATCAGATGTGGTATCAAATCAAAAGTAATGCAAAGTATTAGACAAATGTATGTTTATAATGATAATATAGTTGCTCTAAAAAAAAAATAAATTTTGTATATTATGGCGTAAACAGTTAAGGTTAGGATTATAAGATTCTCTGAAATTTGATATACCGAATAAGAGTGTTAGTCACTTCAATAGCAACAAACTGATTTGTACTTTACAAATAACACCAATACAATGTAACCATTTACTAAACTTTATATACAATTTATTTTTCTCCCCAAAATAAGAGAATAAAATAAGTTACACACTTTTATGGTAAAATGTATATCCAGGGTATAACCTGTTAGAACGTTTATCAAGAAAATCTGTATGGCATTGCTTTTTAAGTTATCCAACTTCATAAAGATTGTTTGGCTTAATATTTTGATTGATTAACTGCTTATTCTTAACAGCTAAATTGTAACCATTAAGTTCTATTCATCATGTTCAACATTTAGGCACATCAAATACCTTATTTATATTAAAAGATTAATATTTGAACGAAGAATATTCTTTTTGATAAATTCTCTTCACGTTGCAAATTAATAATCCGAAAAATAGCCGGGTCTATGGTAAAGTGCACCTTTGAAAGCATGAGAATTTAGGTTTGTCAAAGCCGCTTCTCCTCCCTGTCCAAACTCAAGGCAATTTAATCAGTAGTAATCTCAGCTATTGAGTGACCTAATTTTACTATTGTACATATGAACTTTCGTACTCAAATGTAATTATCCCTGTTATCTATATTCACAAATCTTTGTACTATTATTATTATTATTACTAGTGGTTAAACATCATTAGTAATCTCCCCAATATATGATTCATTTACTTCGCATTCAATCCACCTTATTTTTTACACAATATAGTCTTCCATCAAACATTCGACCAAATTGTAGTTGCACTATTATTTCTCTCATCCTATCTGACCCATATTTCTTCTTATCATGGATCTTAAATTTACACTTGACATATAAGCCGATTCGAGTTAACGTTCTACGTGAATCATATCAACATTAACAATTTTATAGTGGGATCTAGGGCGCGCGTTTCGTCCTATCTGGGACTCGTCAGACTGATGTTCACTCTGGAGCTCGAACCCAGTACAGTTCGTGTCAAATGCCCTCGCGTTATCCACTTAGCTACTGAGTCCTGACAGCTAATCGCTTGTGCAAGGGGGTGAAGTTGGAATTCACCTGATATATTTTACTTGAATCTTCCCATCTTTATTTATGACTGCAATTGATCAGTCTTTTATTGGTATAAGGGCATACTGTGCGTATTGCCTCAATATTGCCCTAATTTACAAGCATTATACGCAA